AGAGGGTGCAGCTGTCAGGGACGTTTCTGAAGTGAGTGTCTTTGAGCCTGTGTGCTTCCCAAACTGCATAGGAAGCTATTGGGTTGGTGCAAAGGTAATTCCAATTACTGGGTGAGTTGTGCCAATCACAGAAATGTAATCAGAAATTCAGCCTCTGCAGCCTGCAAGGACAGAACCCCTATCCGGATTTAATCCTGCAGATGCTGCCCCACCACCTCCACCAAAGCCCATTAGGAGCTGAGTGCTTGAGGAGTGAAGAAAAACTCCTCTAGGAAAAAAAAAATTATATTAAATACAAAAAAGAAGCAACTATCAATCTAATTTCAGCACTCGCAGGTCATGCTATTACTTGCAAACAGCTACTACCGTTTCAAGGATCAGGGAACTGTGGGTCTCTCTCTTACATTTGTAATACTAATAAACTTATCAATAATACAGCCTTACTTTGGCTAGGGAGTTTATAGATATTATATTTAGTTCTTGAGACCCTTCTGCAAATAAAAGCAATAACCTTCATTTGACAGATGAGAAGAGCAAAGCTCAGAGTAATGAAGTGGCCACCAGCATTCTCCTTGCTGGCTGAGGTCATTCCCTACCACCTTCAGATTTTTGCCATCTTTTTCTGCCACCTTAAAGCTCAAATTGCTGACCAGGTGCGGTGGCTCACGCCTGTAATCCCAACACTTTGGGAGGCTGAGGCAGGTGGATCACAAGGTCAGGAGAGCGAGACCATCCTGGCTAATACGGTGAAACTCCATCTCTACTAAAAATACAAAAAATTTGCCGGGCATGGTGGTGCGCACCTGTAATCCCAGCTACGTGGGAGGCTGAGGCAGGAGAATCACTTGAACCCAGGAGGCAGAGGTTACAGTGAGCCGAGATTGCAACACTGCACTCCAGACTGGATAACAGAGAGAGACTCTGTGTCCAAAAAAAAAAATGGTGAATACAATAAAAGCCAAAGTATATTATTAAATCTAGCCAAACATAATTGCCTTTTTGAGTTTTTTTTTTTTTTTTGAGACAGAGTTTCGCTCTTGTTACCCAGGCTGGAGTGCAATGGCGCGATCTCGGCTCACCGCAACCTCCGCCTCCTGGGTTCAGGCAATTCTCCTGCCTCAGCCTCCTGAGCAGCTGGGATTACAGGCACGCGCCACCATGCCCAGCTAATTTTTTGTAGTTTTAGTAGAGACGGGGTTTCACCATGTTGACCAGGATGGTCTCGATCTCTTGACCTCGTGATCCACCCGCCTCAGCCTCCCAAAGTGCTGGGATTATAGGCGTGAGCCACCGCGCCCGGCCTGAGTTCTTTTTTTAAAAAGGAAGAAGAGGCCAGGCACAGTGGCTCATGCTGTTAGTCTTATCACTTTGGGAGACCAAGGCGGGAGAATCGCTTGAGTCCAGGAGTTCAGCCTGGACAACATAGTGAGACCTATCTCTACAAAAAAAATACAAAAATTAGCTGGGTGTGGTAGTGTGTGCCTGTAGTCCCAGCTACTCAGGAGGCTGACGTGGAGGAATCACCTGAGCCCAGGAAGTCAAGGCTGCAGTGAGCCGAGATCACACCTCTGCACTCCAGCCTGGGCGACAGGAGTGGGACCCTGTCTCAAACAAACAAACAAACAAACAATCAAAGCCAGGCATGGTGGCGCATGCCTGTAGACCCAGCTACTCAGGAGACTGAGGCAGGAGGATTCGTTGAGCCCAGGAGGTAGAGGCTGCAGTGAACTATGATCGTTGCCACTGCACTCCCAGCCTGGGCAAAAGACCAAGACTCTATTTAAAAATAAATAAATAGGATGGGTGCAGTGGCTCATGCCTGTAATCCCAGCACTTTGGGAGGCCAAGGCAGGTGGATCACAAGGTCAAGAGTTCAAGACCAGCCTGGTCAATATGGTAAAACCCCATTTCTACTAAAAACACGAAAATTAGCTGGGTGTAGTGGCGCACACCTGTAGTCTCAGCTACTCAGGAGGCTGAGGCAGGACGATTGCTTGAACCTGGGAGATGGAGATTGCAGTGAGCCGAGATCACGCCATTGCACTCCAGCCTGGGCAACAGATCGAGACTCCATCTCAAAAGATAATAATAATAAAATTAAAAATTAAAAAGGATGAAGAGTAAGAAAAGGACACACAGTGTTAAAGACACGCCAGCCCACCCAAAGACTGTCTCCTGAGCATCTTCAGAGGAAAAGGGGCACCTCTCTGTATGAGTCCCAGCAGGGCATCTCTCCTGGTCACGTGAACCATCTAAGGGTCAGTGCTTGGGGCTGCAGCTGTGCAGAACTAGACAACTGTAGACATTCTCATGACTCATCGCAGTGGTGTGCACAGATCTGTTTTCCTTATCTCTCATACCGCTGTGACCAGGAAATTAGAACTGCTGCCACCAACCTGACCGGACGGCAGCATCTCACCCCCTTTTTTTTTTTTTTTTTTTGAGATGGAGTTTCGCTCTTGTTGCCCAGGCTGGAGTGCAATGGTGGGATCTTGGCTCA